CCACCTCCTGCGCGCGCTGCCCCGCCTCGTCCAGGAGGCGCTCTACGTCGTCGGGTCGGCCTATGATCTGCGGTGGTGGCTGCGGCTGCGGCCCTGGGCGGGGCAATACATTCATGCGGACGTACTCAGCTGCGTCCTGGGGGAGCTGGGAGCGGAAGGCCTGCACCGCCGCGAGCCCTGCTGCTCCTGCGCCCACAAGGTCCGCTGCTGCCTGCGCTCCGTCGGCCGCGCTGCGCAGACGGCCCGTTATTGAGGGCGGGCCCTGTCCGTTGTTCGTCAGCGCGTCGGCCTCTGGGTCTCCTGCCAGGTCGTCCTCGCCGAAGCGGTTTCCTCCGCCTTGGCGCATCCGGGCCAAGTCCTCGTCCGTGGCCTCAGCGGGAGTGCGGAAGCCTTCCTCTGGAATCGCCCTCAGGGGCGTGTGCTGCAGAGGCTGCGGGTTGGGGTCCTCGCTGGACTGCACGAAATCGTCCAAGTAGAAGTGGCTCGTGACGAACGTGGTGGCCTTGCGGTCCGGCTGGTCCAGGGCAGCGGCTCGTTCCGCTCCAGGTAGCCCACAACCTGCTCGAAGCGCGGGCGCTGATTGAAGCCGTGGGACCGAAGCGTCTTCATCTCTTTATGGGTTACTGCGCGGCAACTTCGCCCGCTGCGCGTTCCACGCCCCTGCGCTCGGCGCGCGCGTAGCGCAGCTGAGGGACCTGGCGGTGCACGGCCTCCGTCAGCCGGCTCACGTCGTCCAGGTGCCGCTGCCCCTCCTGGGCCAGCCTGCGCTCGCTAAGCCAGTTGTTGAAGGCCCGCGCCTCCTCCAGCTCTCGCTGGCGCTTCAGCAGCAGCGGCTGCAGGTCGTAGCTGGGGTACGTTTTGCGAAACCACCGGAGCATCTGCGGCTCGTTGCGAGGTTCGATGGACATCATCTTGCTCTTTACACCAGTACGCTAGCTCCCGCCGTCAGCCGGTCGTAGGCCGACTGCCTCTCCAGCATGCGCATGGCGCGCTCGCTCGGCCGAGGCGCTTCTACGGGCTCGGGCCGTACCTCTCTGTGTACCTCGGGCTCGGGCTGTACCTCGGGCTCGGGCTGTACCTCGGGCTCTAACTGCGGCTCGGGCACGGGCGCTGCCTTGGGCGCAGCCTTGGGCTTGGGAGCTGCCTTGGGCTTGGGAGCTGGCGCGGCAACTGCCTTGGGTGCTGCCTTGGGTGCTGCCTTGGGCACGGGCGCTGCCTTGGGCACGGGCGCTGCCTTGGGTGCTGCCTTGGGCGGTGCCTTGGGTGCTGCCTTGGGCGGTGCCTTGGGTGCTGCCTTGGCCGCGGGCGCTGCCTTGGCCACGGGTGCTGCCTTGGGTGCAGCCTTGGGAGCCGTCTTGGGCTTTGTGGGAAATCTCACCCTCTTGGGACGGAAGGGGGAGTCCGCCTCATACGCCGGCTCCGTGGGCAGGTCGTCGATCATTTTTTTCTCTTCGCCAGGTCGTCGATCATTTTTTTTCTCTTCGGCAGGGGCAGCTCGGGCGGCAGGGGCAGCTCGGGCGGCTTCGGCTTGTTTTTGCTGCCCGGGGGCCTGCCTCTAGGCCTTGGCGCCGGTTGCGCTTGCTTCATCGGTTTTTTTAATAGAAAATATTTTTTTTAAAAGACCTTCGGGGAATTAGACGTGATCCAAAAACAGCACGAAGGACAAGGACGAGCCCCGCAGTCGGACGACTTGGCCTTCCAGGTCTGTCAGCCGGAAGCGCAGGTGTCTCAGGGTGATGGGGCCCCTAACGGCCATGAAGTGCCCGTCATCGGAGCCGGTCTCCACGATGGTGCCCACGCCGCTCTTCAGCGTTATCTTGGACAGGATGTCGTCCCCCAGATTGCCCAGCACGCGGCTGGCGTTGGCCAGCTGGGGGCAGCGCAGGTAGACCTCGTTGTATGCCATCATCCTCACGAATTCAAAGACCTGCTGCCCGCCAGAGACGAAGCTCGGGCCGAGCATGTGGTCGATGCTGAAGGGCTTGCTCGGAGAGGCGGCCGGCGAGGTGGGGTAGTCCACAACGTTAGGGAACTGCTGCTGCAGCTCCAGATCGTTCAGAATGAGGCGGTTGCCGTCGTAGGCTACGCTGAGGCTGTTCGTGGTCTCGCTGTAGGCGGCAGTAGCGAAGTTGGAGCTGATCCAGGCGGCCAGCCGGGAGCCCGTGTAGGCGCCCTCGGGCAGCAACGCCCAGTTCAGAGTCCCAAGCGCGGCGTCTACCCAGTACAAGTAGCGGCCGCGATCAGTCGAGAGGAAGCTGTCGGCGATTCTGATCTTATAGACGGCCAGCCTGGCGTCGCTCTGCAGTGCAGGGACTCTCCCAGGTCTACCTCGAAGTCGCTGTCCGAGCCGGCTACCCTCTTGCGGCTGTCCACGTAGATAGTGGTCATCCTTTTCCATAGGAGGCCACCTGTTCGACGGATGATGGGCGACTGAACTGCTGCGACGGAGGTGCAGCACTGAGCGCCTGAGGCGCAGGAGATATTCTCGCACCTCGCATTGATGAGTGTAGAGCTAGCGAACAGCTTCTGGCCCAGGAAGCTGAGCGCCGCTCCCATCGGCTTCTCTTTCCAGTGCAAAACGCTCTTCGAAGCGCAAGTGGAACATTTGATTCTTTGGCTTGAGGTAGTAGACGAAGAGGAAGCTGTAGGGCTCCCGGGTCGCCTGCTCGTAGATCCTGTGCAGCTTGTCCTTCGGCAGCAGGGCGCTCAGCTCTTCGATGACGGCCTCCAGCTCGTGCTGGTTGCGCAGCCTCCAGCAGCAGAGGAATTGCTGATTGACCCGCACGGCTGCGCTGATGAGCCTCAGCTTCTGGGAGCTCACCCAAGTGCTGATCTGCATATGGCGGCCCCTGATGAAGAGTGTATCCAGGGCGCCGTGGGCCTTGTGCAGCTGCGGGGTGTCGGCGAAGTCGTCGATGACTACAAGCACCTGGTAGAGTTTCTTCATTTCCAACTTCTTGGATGTCTCGGTGATCTTGCGCTGCCTCTGGATGATGTCCCGCAGCGCTGCCTCGTCCCACTCGTCGTAGTAGGCCCTCTCCCGTTCGGTATTCACCCCCAGGTCCTCCTCTATGTACTTCTTGACGGGGATCCAGCCGTCGTCGATATTGATGGACGGACTGAAGATATAGATTTTCTCGAAGACTCCGCGGTATTGCTCCAGAATCATGCTGATCAGCGCCACGGTTTTGCCGGACTTGCTGGGGCCGAGGAAGATGCCCGTACATGGTACCAGGGGCACCACGGGGTCCGAGGGCTGTTTGCTGCTGTACTCGGCCGTAGGAAACAGCTTGATCTTCCCCATGACTTTGTTCCTTTGCCTTACTTGCCAAATTCGACGCAGGGAAGCCGGGCAGTAAGACCGGGATAAATCTAAAGGCCGGCATGCAGCTGAAGTATATGGGAAGCAAATCGTGGTTGGCCCCACATGTGGACCGGCTGCTGGGGGACGTCGCTGTGCTTCACTCTCCCTTCTTCGGCTCTGGAAAGCTGGAATACTACCTCGCCATCCGGCGTCCGGCCCTAAAGGTGCGTGGTGTCGACGCCTTTGAGCCCGTCGCAAACCTGCACCGCTGCTACTTAAGGCAAGACCCGGTCTTCCTGCGCTCCTTGCTGCGCCTGGCGGGGCGCAAGATAGACAGGCGCTTCTACTTCAGTCGCCTCCTGCCGGGCGCTCAGAGAGGCCGCGCCGGGCGCCGGGCTGCCTGCTCATACGTCCTGCTGCGCAACAGCTTCTCGGGAAAGTGGGGCTCCTTCACACAGCAGCGGCCACTGGCGCTGAGCAGCGTGCGGCGTCTGCAACGGCCGCCCACAAACGTGACCGTGCGGCACCAGGACGCGCTGGCCCATCTACGCGCTCTGCCCCGCCAAGCGACCCGACAAGCCATATACGCCGATCCTCCCTACATCTTCCCAGGCCGCAGCATGAACTACTATGGCACGAGGAGGCGGGGGCATGACCTGGCCTTCCACTCAGAGCTCCGAGACGCGCTCTTCGCAAGCGGCCTGCCCTTCCTCCTGAGCATCAATGACTTGCCTGAGGCCTGGGAGCTCTACAGCAGGGCCGGCTCCATCACAAGGCTGTGCTCGGGCAAGAACGGCTCCAAGCCAGAGCTGCTGGTGTGCACCGGGGCAATCCTGCTGTGGCGACAGGATTGAGTGGAGCAATCCTGCGCCGCACAGGATTGAGGCCGCAATCCTGCGCCCACAACAGGATTGCCAGGGCCGCACCAGGCCCGCACCAGGCCCCAATCCGACTTCGGTATGGAGCAGGTCGGTCCGACTTCGCTTTTCCAAGCCTTTTGCGCACTTTTCGGCCCCAAAGAGAGCGGTGACGAAGCGGTGACATCGCAGTGAGACCGTTTTTGGGCCAAAAAGCGCCGTTTTGGATAGGTAGCGAGAGCCCATGGTGAGATGGTTTAGGCGTTGCTCTCCGTAGCGACGTTTCGGAGGTTCGATTCCTCCCGGGACCTCGGCGGGCTGACGTGTTAGAGACCGGTGACTTCGGCGGTGACGAGTTCAGCGGGCTGACGCGTTACGTGGAAGAACCTCGGCAGGCTGACGTGTTACTCGGGAGCACCTCGGCGGGCTGCCGCGTCAGACACTGGCTGACTCTGTGGCTGTGCCTCGGCGGGCTGACGTGTTAGAGACCGGTGACTTCGGCGGTGACAAGCTCAGCGGGCTGGAATTCGCAGGTTTTTCGGGGTAGAAACGGATTTCGGAGCACTGCAAACACCTGGAGCAGGTTTTCGGCGGAAAACGAGCGAATTTGGAGGCCCAGGCTGCACTTTTGACGCCGGACACAAAAAACGCACTTTTCGGAGTTCTCCGTTTTCAGCGCTTTTTGCACCAAAAACGGAGTGGTGACAAAGACCGGTGACATCGGAAAAACGTTCAGCGGGTTGAAGAATTTGGCTGTTTTGCAGGGTTTTGGGACCAAAAATCCCAAATAATTAGGGTAGTATAAGCTGATGTTCCATACTACTGTCTGCTTCCCCCAAATGGATGGCGCCGTGGAAGCTGCCAGACAGCTTTTCGCTGTTCAGTTGGATTTATACATCTCGGCGAACATGGCATCCGCGGAAGATGGCTGGGTGAGTGCTTGCGCGGATGAGAGGAAATACCAAGATTCCCTCGCCGTCATGCAGGCCCTGAAGGATCGCCACGGAGGAGAGTTCGAGTTTGACGCCCCCGACGACATTCCCAGCGGACTGGCTAGCGACATGTTCGCGCCCGTAGACGGCGGGGAGGCGGGCTGATGCAGTTTTGAAGTTGTTGGGCCCCAGTTTAAGTCGCGGGGACGTCGATCTGCTGTCGACGCGCGCGCCTCCCGCGCGCAGGAAGCCTTCGCGATGTTGACGGCGAAGAACCCGTCTCCAGACGTGCGGCGACAGCTGCAAGCAATGAACTACGTCGTCTATTCCGTAATGCACGGAGAGAAAACGTTCGACTCCACCTCGTCCCACAGGCTTCGACTCATTATCCACGGAGCTGGCGGCTGCGGCAAGTCTGTGGTTCTGAGGGCGAGCGCGCACAAGCTTCGCGAGAGCGGGCGCGGAGTGGTCATCGCTGCCCCACGGGGGTCGCCGCGTTCAACATCAACGGCGTCACTTTGCACACGTGCTGCAGCCTCCCTGTCCGCAACAACAGTTACGGCCGCGCAGTCGATGTGCCTCCGCCCCGAGGGGCGCAGCTGGCCAACTTGAAGACCGTTTGGTCCAAGGCGCACGCCCTTTTTATTGACGAGCTGAGCTTCATGTCGGAAGACATGACTCAAAGAATAGACGCCAACTTGCGGCTTGCTCGAGAGATGCCGCATATCCCCTTCGGCGGCATTCACGTGGTTTTGTTTGGCGACCTCTACCAGCTCCCGCCCCCGGGCGGTTTGCCGATCTTTGCGAGCCCGCTGTGGAACCTCTTTGAGCTTTGCGAATTGCGGGGCAATCATCGCGCTGCCAAGGACCCGGAGTGGGCGGCCTTGCTGGCCCGGGTTCGAGTTGGCGAGTGGACGGAAGCCGACGTCGCGGCCATTCGCGCCCGAGTTGTTCGCGAGCGCAACCAGGTCAGGCCGGCCCCCGCGGCCGTCAAGCTCTATGCCACGCGCGCTGCGGTCGCCGAGAGCAACGCCACTTATTTGCAGCAGCGCGTGGCCGAGACCTCAGAGCTAGTTCACGAGCTGCCCGCCGCTGACCGCTACATTCGCACCAACCTGCCGTCCTCCGACAACAGCTGGCCGCAAGCAGAAGACACAGGGGGGATGGAGTTGATGCTGCGGCTTGCCACAGGAGTGCGCGTGATGCTCAAACAGAACCTCGACGTCCGAGATGGGCTTGTCAACGGGGCTTGCGGCGTCGTGAAGCAGCTGGAGATCGCGGGCGAGACAGTGCTCACCGCGTGGGTCGATTTCGAGAAGGGCGCTGGCAAGCAATGGAAAGAAGTAAATGGCCGCGCGGAAGTGCGCATCCAGCGAACGACTGCTAGGTTCGCCGGGAAGGACGGCAAGGAAGTCGAGCGCAAGCAGTTCCCGCTCGTTCTGGCGGGCGCGACCACTATCCACAAGAGCCAGGCAGTGACGCATCATTGCGGCGTTCACGCTCGTCTTGACGCCAGCTGCAAGCAAGAGGGGCAGGCTTACGTCGCCATGAGCCGCTGTCCGACCAAGGCCTTGTTCACTCTGGAGTATTTCAGCCCCAAAAGCTTGCGCTTCAACGCGAGCGCGGAGTGGGCGCTTGCCACGTTGAGATGCCAACAGGCAATGCGGCGCGCTGCCCAGGACTCGCAAACCTTGCGAGGAGCAGCGCGACAATTGGAGGAGCTGCGCTGTGCGTTGCTGGTGCCTCAGGAAAGCGCCGCGTCTCTCAAGCGCCGTCTGGAAAAATGGCCCAGCCAGATTGGAAAGTTTACAGAGAGGCGAGGCTGGCTTCTGAAGGAGAAGTTCAGCCTGCGCGCCCCTGCGTGTGCCCACTGTGCGGGTTTCGTGCGACAGACGACGTCAGCCTCAAGCAACACAAAAAGAACTGCAAACGCGCTGCTCGACGAAAGGCGAAAGCGAAAGCCCAGGCCAAGACTTTGACGCCGCCGCCTCCAAGGCCGCAATCCCCGGCCCAGAGAAAGAGAAAGCTCGAAGAGAGCCGCGCAGATGCGCCTGTGCTGCACGCAAGTCCGAATTCGCGTCAAAAGCGTCGCCTAACCAAACTCGCCTTTCCTGCGACTAAGGAGCCTCCGCCTCTCCGTCCTCGCCGGGCCACGCGGCCGAGGCAGCGCGCTTGCCGCAAGTTTATTTCGAAAGGCAGGAGCGCGCCCTCTGCGGGCTTCACGCCTTGAACAACGCTTTGGGGGCGAAACATTTCTCTAGCAAAGACATGGTCGGCGCGGCGGAGCTGTTCCTTGTGGAAAACGCAGAGCTTTCAGATGTTCTTGCAGATCACGTTGACCAGGAGAACGGCTGGTACTCCATCGAAACAATGTGCACCGCTCTGCGCGCGAAGTCCATGCAGCAATTTGGCAAAGCGACCTGGGAACTGTCGCTCGAGCCAGTGGTGTCCGCGAGCCAGTTGGTCAAGGCAACGGGCGCGGTTCAAAACAGGGAGAACCACTGGGTGGCGTACAAGGCAACTGCGCGAGGCGAGTTGCTTCTCTTAGATTCCCTACAGCCGGCGGCGCAACTCATTGCAGAAGAAGAGTTTCTGACGCAGCTGGCTAGCTATCCCGGCACTTACTTGATCGTCAGCGTGTGAAGGAGAGCGGCGCAAGAGGCGCAGTGAGACGTGGCCACGCGCTAGCTTTTGCGCGACAGTATTTTAATGTTTTATAGCGAGCGCGAGAGTGAACAAACAAGGGTGAATTGCGACGCCGCGCCGTGGAGCCTGGCAAGCAGCTTGTTTTCTTCGTTAGGATATTTTTGCGGCGCGCCCCGGCTCGAGCCTACTCCCATGAAGCGCAGCGCGGAAGAGGCTGCTGCTGACCAGTGGCCAGCGCGTGTTCCGCCCGCGAGGGTGCTCTGGCGCGGCACCTGGTGCCTGGCATCGCAGTCGCAACTTGGCGAAGAAGGCTGCTCCGAGTCGCCCTTCGCAGCGGCGTGGCAACAAGCTTCTTTGCCTGCCTGCTGCTCAACTGCTTCTGGCAGCGCTCGGCCGCAAGGAGGCGTTCGAATTCCTCCAGCGGCGCCGTTGTTGCCCGACGAACTTTGCGAGGCCTGGCGCGGCCCCGCTGGCCGCGACGTCAATTTCCTCGCGCAAATCAACGCCCACCGTCGAGACAAGCTCTTGTTCTTTGATCCTGCGCGGCATGTCTACTACACGAGAGATCGAGCTATCGGATGGTCGGTGACGGCTTTGGTTGCAACGGCGTCCTGCGACTTTAACGCAGACCGAGCAATTCAGAGCATGAAGGATTCCAAGCGCTGGCCGCGTGCTGACTACGTTCGAAACGCAGTGGAGGCAAGGTCAGCTGCGTGCTTGCGTTTCATGCGCTGCGTGCGCCTTGCTTGCCCTTGGTCGACGGAGCACGAATTTTGCGCGGACCACGCGGCTGAAAGCTTGCGTGGCGCGCGAGATGCGCGCGATCCAGATTGGCCAGAGCTAGAAGAAACTTTCGTCATGACGGCGGGCGAAATCAAATCGCTGTGGGCGCAGCAGGCGGCAGAGGCTGCCCAGCTTGGGACTGAGATGCACGTGCGATGCGAGCTCATTTTGAACGGCTGTCGCGGCTGCGCAGACGTTGAGGAAATGCGGCTGTTTGCCAAATTTTTGGAGCAGGGGGCGAAACTGCTCGCGTTCCGCACAGAGTGGGCTATTTTCGCTGACGAAGAAGATTTGGCGGGCACGATTGATTTCGCCGCGATAAACGAAAGCGGCCAGCTCGTTCTCTTTGACTGGAAAAGAACGAAAGATCTGCAGCAGAAGTTCAACAGTGAATGGCGGCGAATGCAGCCGCCGCTTGAGCATCTCGCCGACTGTGCGGGGCAACGCTACTACCTGCAATTAAACTGCTACAAATTCATCTTGCAGAAGTATTACGACGTCGAAGTCGCTGCGATGTACGTGGTTGGTCTTCACCCAGACTGCGCGCCGTCGCCGCGCGTCAAAGAAGTGCCTGAGATGAGCGCAGAAATTCAGAGCTTGCTCCGGGCTTGCCGGCGCCAGACTTGAATTCTTTAACGAAAAGAGCGCAACTGCGACAAAGAGCGGAGAACAGTTGGCTCACGACCTGCTTCTGCAGCTCTGCTTCAGGCAGCGTTGGTCTCGCTCCTGTCGGCTCGCTTGTGTCTGGGGGGGCGTCTGAGTCGTCTGAGACCTTGTCCTTGCCGAAGGATGCTCTGCTGCGCCCGCGCAAATTTCTCGGCCCAAGACCCGCCGGCGCCTCTGCGACTTCTCCTCGCGCCATGTGGTTGGCCCGCGCGCAAGTCTTCGACTTGTTGCTACGCGAACTCCTCGAGCTGCTGGACGGGCGGGCCACGCTTCGCCTCCTGGCGCTTTGCCGGGACGCGCGCAGGCCGGAGTGGGCAGAAAGGGGCGCAGCCGCTCGGAGGCTCGCAGAAGACTTTGCAAGAAGGCCTGCGGCTGCCGGGCTTTCAGTGGCAGGACGTGCTTGAGGTGCGAGCCTGCTGGAAGATCGACACGGAGTGGGAGAACTGCTTCCGCCCGCCTGCTGTCTTGGCTGGCGCCTTCTGCGCGGGCTCGCAGTGTCAGATGCGGAGATGGATCGATCGCTTCTGGCGCATCCGGGGCTTGGGCCCAATCGAAGCGCTGCGGCGACTCAACTTGTTCTTCGACTCGCTCAAGATGCCGGAACTTGAGTTCTACCTCGGCCTGCTGCGCAAAGGGCAAGCTTGCTTCTTCTATTCGCCCAAAATTGATCGCCCCGGCGACTTCCGCGGCTGCTTTGCGGACGACGAGGAAGGAGAAGTGGAGCCGCCTGTGGACGCCGGGCTCGCCATTGTGCTACGCTGCGATCATTTTGCAGTGGCCATTCGCGCAAGACAGGCGCGGCCAGCGCGTTCGCAGTGAGTTGGAGCTGCGAGGAAGAGGCCTGAGCGAAGAGTAGAGGAGGGAACGCTCGTGAGCGCAAGAATGAAAACGCGACAGCAGAGACTGACAACGTTCTGCTTCAGGCATAGGGCGTCGCTTCAAAAACACAAATCTCGAAGCGCCAAGCGCCGAACCGCGCTTCGTTTCTGCAAGTGCAGAGCGTCAGGTTTCTTTGCGTGGGAAAGGAGACGCGTGTAGTTTTGGGCGGTTCAGGGTTTTGGGTTTTAGGTTTTTAGGGTTTGCGATTTTTAGGGTTTTGGGGAGCTTAAGATTTCGGGTTTTTTGGTTTAAGGTTTTGGTTTTTTGGGTTTAGGTTTTGCTGTGCTGGATAAGGTTTAGCGTTTTGGGCTTGCTGGGTTTAAGATTTTGTGTTCTTTTTTACGGTTTAATTTTTTTCGGGTTTTCGGTTGTTGGTTTTTATGGTGTCAGGTTTGGGTTTTCTAAGGTTTTTCGGGTTTAGGGCCTTGGGTTTTAGATTTTTGTAAGGTTTAGAGCTTGCGGTTTTGATTTTTTGGGTTCTTATGGCTTTAGGTTTTTAAGATTGCAGGTTTTCGATTTTTAGGGTTAAAATTTTCGGGTTTTTGGTCTTAGGGTTTGCTTTTTGGTTTGGAGGTTCAGGGCTCAGGGTTTTTGATTTTAGGGTTTTGGTCGCTCAGGGTTTGCGGTTATCGATTTTTAGGGTTTCGGGAAGCAGTTCTAAATTTTTAGGTTTAGGGGCATGAATTTTTTTATTTGTGGACAAAAGCCGAGTTCAGCCGCGGCTTTTTTTTTTTAAACAACCAGGCGCCTCGCGATGAAAGGTTTTTGTTCCACATTTTCTTATCGATTCAGAGTCGAAATCGAAAAGGAGGAAACTCAATTTACCAACTCCTTGAGGGTTTAGGGTTTAGGGTTTAGGGTTTAGGGTTTAGGGTTTAGGGTTTAGGGCCCGCCCCGCCGCCGCCCGCGGCGGGCCCCCCCGCCGCCGCCCGCGGGCCCCCCCCGCCGCGCCCGCGGCGGGGGCCCCCCGCCGCGGGGGCGGGGCGCGGCGGGGCACCGGGGCCGGCCCACGCGCGGCCCGCCGCGCCCGCGCGGGGCCCCCCGCCGCGCCCCGCCGCGCACCGCCGCGGGTCCGCGGCGGGCCCCCACCGCCGCGGGCCCCGCTTCCTTTTTCTTCTTAGCGGCCAGCCGTCGGCGGCGGCGGCGCCCAGCGGCTCAGCCCCAGGGCAGCCGCGGAACCGCTGGATCGGTTTTTAAGAAACATTACTGTTGGTGGTAACGCCGCGCTGGTCCCCGCTGGGGGCCGCCCGCCCTCGGGCGACCTCGCCGCTTCGGTCGCGAGGTTTGCCGAGGCCTCGCGTAGAGAAATCCTACGTGGGGCGCGGGCGGCGCTCCATGGGCCATCGCTAAAGACTTTTTACTTCGCGTCTTACGGCGGCATTAGCGCTTTTCGGGACGGGCGGGAGTCGGGACTGAGGTCTGAGAGAAACAGAGTCGTTTCCAGTGTTGTTTCGCGGCTTGCTTTGCTTGCGCTCCAGGACTCGTGGCTGACGGAAGTCCTCTCCGGCGACATCAAAGGACGGCTGCCGGAGAGATTGCTCTAGGCCCCGGAGCGGGATGGCTCAGTAGAGAACAAGCCCTCTCCTTGCTGAGCGTTTTCTTCGGCCAGGGCGGGCCGCTGGAGAGGTTGCTGTAGGCCCCGGAGCGGGATGGCTTAGCAGAGAACTAGCTCCCTCCTCGCCCGACAACTTCTTTACACGTTGTCCGCTTGCAGGAGCAGGACCGCTGGCTTCGCCGACGGCTTTGACCCAAAAGGCCAGGGTCCGGCCGAAGACATGTCGCTTGTGTTTGCCAGCCCCGGTTCGCTTGTGGAAGGAACTGTCACTTTGCTTGCGCGGGCCCCAAACTTGAAGGCCTGACAAACTTTAGCTTGAGCGACCGCCCCGGCTAGACTCTCTTGGCTCAACAACTTCTGTTCCTAAGTCAAAACTTCCCGCGATCGCCGCAATGCCACGCGTGTGCCGGAATGCAGACTGCTGCTTCTCTAAGAAAGGAGGCCGGCAGCGCGTGGGTGCGGGGGTTGAGTTCTGCGCTTTCTGCGACCACGAGGCCATGGAGGCGGCCTGTCTGACGGCGCCCGGGCGGCGGTCGCTCCTGCAGTCCCTGAAGGCCATGGTCGACCCCAACTTCCGCGCCATTGCCTTGGAGCAGATTCCCGCGGAGTATGAGGGGCACTTCTCCCGCGGCTTGGCTTCCGCGCAGTTCTGCGCTGGGTTTGAAGGCGAGGCCTGCGTGTTCGCCCTGGCCAAGACCGGTGGCCCTGCGCAGGTCCACCAGCGCCAGGCGAGGAGTTGTTTGTTCTGCGACCCCGCTGCAGTCGGCGCCAAGGTGGACGCGCCGGGGGGCCTGAAGGACATCGCGGCTGCGCTGAAGAAGATGTCCGAAGCGACAAGGGCGAGGGCCCTGACAGAGCGGATCCCCGAGGACGTCCGGGCCCGGGTCCAGGCGCTGCTCAAACCCAAGGAGCCGCGGCGGCCTCGGCTCGGCGCCCCGCCTGAGCTTGGGGAGCTCCAGCGCCGCTGGGCGCCTGCCCTGCTTAAAGGGGCGTGGGGGTTAGTATCTATTTAGCCTACTCACTATGTACATAGCCAACATGCAAAAGAACTTACAGCACATGGCAAATTACATAGCAAAGTTACACAAATTGATTTATCGCACTTAGGCAAATG